TTTTTCCAATTATAATATGCAGTGTGCAATGACATACAATCACTCACAACATTACTGCGTTAACCGAATGGAGAGTTTATTGCTGGCTCAATTTGAAGACTTGGTCCATTGTGCACCAGTTATATCAGAATTCGACTTACACCTTCGACTCCCTCTTATGAGAGTCTGTTTATTCGATTAGTAATAATCCTCGTCAACAATCCTTTGAGATCGTAAGTAAGCTGGTCGACAAATTCCTTTATCACCCTATTCACATAAAACCGCCTTCTACTCTTCAGCTGCTAGGCCTTCTTTTTTTTAGCCGAGTACACAATGAACCTAACGGAGAGAGCTAACCGGTTTTTCTAGGCTGTGGATCTGATGACTTCGATGCTAATGTGATCATTGCCGAGGATATTCCTGTTTTTCATTTAGAAGATGCATATCTTACCTCATTGAATATCTTGTCAGCACCAAGTTTTTTGTTTAGCATGTCAAACCTATATATTCTCCCTCCCCCGCAAGCCCCTACATCTTTCCTAATTTCTACTTGCAAGCAAAGCCTCAACCCTTTTCCAGCTAATGTGCCCGTCTCCTTCCTTCCATTACGAGCTCCGTTCCCCTCGCCAGGAGGCCGAACTTTTCAGCCTAACTTTATCCGCCGAGCCATATCTAAGTCTAGAAAGATAGTTTTTAAAATCGTCTCCGGTCGAACACCGACGATCACCATAAAATTATTGCTGAGGATTAAACGGATCCAGAAAATGAGGAGAACCGGATCACAGAATTCTTTTTTTTTCCATACCAAGTGCTGTTATTGTAACGAAGATTGGTGCTAGCTGTTCTGGAGCAAATTTTATGACAATGCAATAACTATTATCAATCTGTTTATAAACATAACCTGTTTCAATCAGTGTATGATAATGCAATCGTATCAGTGAATGAAAACAGGCAAGAGGCAAAAGTGTGAACATACCAAAGTACTCTTCACTACGTACATCACGAAATCCAACAAATTTTGTAAAACAAAAGAAAAAAAAACAAGTTATGGAAATGTAATAAAAAAAATGAAAAAGTGAACACAGCTATGGAACAGTAATACAAATGGCAATGCA